CTAAAAAACTTTCCTATTTTTTTTAAACCGACAAAATTTTATGATCTTTAATACAAAAATCAGTTATTTTATGTGTTCATAATCGCATCACGCAGGAAAAGCTCATCGCGCTTGTTCAATTTCAAAGTTAATTTCATTTTTGAAGGGAATGTTTTTTATTCGATCCAAAAATATTAGTTTTTTAAAATGTATATTCGTTGTACGAAATATATGGGAAACTGCAAAGTTCTGGCGGCTTCATTAAATTTTAACGAATTTCAAAAGAAAAAATACAGGCCTTCTTATTGAGTTCTGGAAGCTTGCTTGAAAATTTTTTTCTTTGGACCACCCCAATGTGCATACGTGTAATTTTTAAAAATTCAAGCACGTGCGTTGCTCGCAGTTTATTTTTGTAGCGCGACCGCACAATATTTTACATGAATTTAACTCAAACGCTCACGGCTGGCCGCCAGCCGCGCGTCAACTTAATCCCTATCCATTAAAATCAACTTTTCCATGCCATGCCATCACTCTGTACATATGTATGTATGTATGTACGGTAGTCTCACGTGCATTTTACACGCCTATGTTCGCATGCACTCGTAGGATGTATGTATTTGGTTGTTCCTCCTGCTTGGTTGGCCGCTCATGCCAGCTACCATCACCGCTTCTTGCTAGCCACTCGCATGCAAATAGTACTATGTTGCTTCATTTCTTTTGCTGGCGGATTCCGCGCAAAATTTTCTTTGCTTCTTTTTACTTGTGTTTGCCTCCTACGCTCCTTCAAAAGTTACTTACCTTTTTATGTGTCGATTTTTTTCGCAACTGTTTTTCTTTTATCTTTTTAATATTGCCAACTACTCGTTTTTTGTTCTTAATGTTTTTTTTATATACCCCTTCCTTTTGTAAAATTTTTTAATGCTTTGGGTTTTTCAATTTGCTCTCATAGCCATTGCCAACTACTGTTTTACATTTACTTCTGTAAGAAAGCATGGAGGAGAAGAAGATAAAGAAAGCAGAACGATCCTTTTGCGCTTTCTTTTTGGTTGAGTGGGTGTAAAGGGCTACTTACTTGGCTGCTTGAATGGATATTATATACGTACATACATATATACAGACATTACATATAGTCAACGTATGGTGGTAATAAGAGTACATATAGCCAAGTATATATACGTATCAGCAGAAACAACAAGAAAGCAAAACATGCAAAGCATCGTACGAGTATGAAATTGCAGTCAAAGCAGAATTGCTTGAATTTCAAATTACCCGTGGGCCAATGAACGTTTACGTTTATACTCGTAAGCTTCCAGTCGCCTAGCCGCCCAGTTGACTAACCTACAATGCCCTTGTCCTATACGCTACTCGCTGTCGGTCTACACATGTATGCGGGTGTGCTTGCATGCTAAATAATAGTAAGTATGTAGATGCCTACATACATACATACATACATATACAAACACCCGATTTAGTTGGGCATTATTGGTGTAAGGCAGGATTAACTGCAAATTGTCGTTCTTTAGTTGCATACATTTCGGCGCAAAAGCTTTAGGAAATCAGTAGTAAGTAGTACAGTTATGCATGTATGTATGTGGACAGATGAGGGCGTCTGTTGGTGACACTTAGTTTTGCAGTAACTGCTTTTCATTAAATTGCTACTTGCTAGTACAATTCAGTTTGGTGTGGCTGTTTTTAAAATTGGATTTTTTCGAGAATGTGCAAATCGAATGCCCAAATGTGTGACAAGTTACATACATATATGATTAACTTTGAAAGCAAAGCTGCTGGTATTAAAAATTAGTTTATAAGTTATTTGCCGATTTGATGACTTAGAAAAAAGTCGCATAGTTGGTAAGCGTCATTCTTTCTTCGTAGCATGAAGGGATTTAAAAAAAATAGACCGCATCAAAACCTAGAACACTTCGTGCCATAAAGAGCTGTAAAAAGAATTTCTTTGCATTCATAAAAACCAGAGTTTAGGGTAGTACACTAAATTTTTAGTACACTAGGCATTTAACTAGCTGTAAGTATATTGGAAGAAAATATATTTTTCACGATTTATCACCAGCTTAGTGATAGTGGAAAATTTCGGCTCTACCACTGAAAACTCAAGTAATAGTTGCATTTTGTTTCATTATAACTAAATTTAGTGGTACTGAATAAATTCGCACTATACTCAAATAGTGATGTATGGAAACAATCACTTTCATACATATAACCTGCACTGAAAAACATTTTTAATAAACTTTCAAAAGTTAATGCCAATAAAATTTTTGTAGCCAAAATTTCATATGCCGCATGTATGTATGTACAAATGTAATATCATCACTTGAGATCGTCTTGACCTGACCGATCTGTCCAAAATTTTTCTTGGCGGTTTCGTGAATAACAATACAAGGTTCGCGAAAATCTCCTCAAAAGATGTGCTTGGAGTTGAGTCATTACTAAAAATAAATATTCTACCTTGGCTCATATTTGAAATGTATGTATATTGGCAAAGAAAAATGTGTAAATGGTTAAGCAACAAGTAATTCTCTTTTGAGTGGTTGTTTTTGGCCGTCGATGATTTACAACCAA